AGTCAATTTTTCCCCCTCAATTTAAATATATAAAAATAAAATAATCAAATCTTATTATTAGGATCAAAACACTTCAGGAGGCCCTCCATTGGAAATAAGCTTTTAGAAATGTCTGTGGAACATACAGATGTGATCTGGTTTATGCAAAATCCACCAGCACCATTTTCAGAATTTGCACAGTAAACATTATAATGAATATTAACTTGTATATTTCAAGTTTAAAATTATTTTGGGTTTAAGTTGAAAGCTACTTTTACTGTTTCCTTTTATGTTCACACTAGAGGCCCGATGCATGAAAATCCATACAAGAGTAGGCTTTCCTTCCTCTGGCTGCTGGCACTGGCTTCCCTCCAGCACCCAGAACCTGGGCTTCTTCCCTCCTCCAGCCATCTGCAGGTACCCGGGATCTAGGCTGACTTCCTTCTGGCCCCGGCTTCATGAGGAAGGACATTCAGAATGACCTCTGGTAGATGTCCTGTCTAATTAGCATATTACCCTCTAATTATTATTATAGGTAAGGGAATTATCCTAACCACAAGTCTCTGCACGAGGCAGGCAGTAACATGGAACTCGGACACAGGCTTTTGAGAAGGGGTATCTATTCACACATGGACTAGAGTCTGGAAGTAGGTTCTGGACCATCAGCCAAGTTGGTCAGTAGAGACTGCTGAGGGGCCCCATCTGGATGGATGCCTTGGCTGCTCTATACAAACCAGGACCAAAGAGACTACATAAAAAGTGATGTATTAATGTGCACAAATGCACAGGAACCTAATAGGGAAAACAACACAAACAGAAGAAACGACCTTTGCCTGCTTTTATGAATGCACTAGAGGACTGATGCACAAAGTTCATGCACGGGGAGGGTTCCTCTCACCCTACCCTGCACCCTCAAGGGATATCCGACTGCCGTTTTAGGCCCAGTCCCCACAGGCATCCCTCTCACAGTCCCCTGCATGCGCCAGTGACCATACTTTTCATACAGGTGGAAAGCATCATGCTGTTGTATGGGCAGCTACACTTTTTTGCCCTGATTATAAAAAGTAGAACATGATCTTTCTGAGGCAGTAATACTATTTCCCCCCATCTTATGGGTGGAAAAACTGAAGCAGAGAGAAGTTAAGTAATTGGCTTTGCCACACAGTTATGTTAGAATCAGGGCTGACCACAAAATGTGCAAGCCAGAGTCCGTGCATGTCATCGCTGCATCATCCTGTAGAGTAGCCTTGGCAGCTTTTAATTTTTAAATCTAAGAGACTGTTCCCATTATATAGGATAGGGTCCCTAGACCTGGCTGGTGATCAGGGCCAATCTGTGGAGTGACCGGTGGGCGGGACAATCCGAGGGCCCCCTATGGGCACCCACCTTAGCTGGCAGCCTGGCATCAGTCACTCACAGGGCCCTGCCCACCACTGCTGCCTGTCTCCCTCTGCGGGGTTACTGATGAGTGGTACATGGGGGGGGGGGCTGCTGGCACTCACCTTGGCTGGAGGCCTGGTGCTGCCAGGTGGATGGCTCCGCCCTCCAATTGCCACCACCGGTCGCCTCCCTCTCAGGGGGGGGGAGATGCTCAATGCAGGAGCTATGCTTGGTGGAAGTTGGGATAACTCCTGCATTGAGCATCTGCCCCCTGATGGTCAGAGAACATCATAGTGGCCAGTTGTTCTGCCCATCTTTCTGCCTTTTGGAAGATTTACATACTAGGGTTTGATTATATAGGATTTGATGTTACAAAAGTAGGGTGTTTCCGAGTCAAAATTATTAATAACTTATAACAACATGTAGAGAACTAAGGTTAAAAGTGGGTTTAAGCCCAAACTGGTTTGGCTCAGTGGATAGAATATCGGCCTGAGGACTCAAGTTTGATTCTGGTCAAGGGCATGTACCTTGGTTGCAGGCACATCCCCATGGGGAGTGTGCAGGATGCAGCTGATTGATGTTTCTCTCTCATTGATGTTTCTATCCCTCTCCCTTCCTCTCTGTAAAAAAAAAATAAAATAAAAAATAATAATAATATATATATATATATATATATATATATATATATATATAAAAGTAGGGTTTTAACTGACAGTTAAAATGTATCATGTTATTTTTAAAAAATATATATATATTATTGATTTTTTTAGAGAGGGAGTAAGATAGTATTAGAAACATCTACCAGCTGCCTCCTGCACACCCCCTACTGGAGATATGCCTGCAACCAAGGTACATGCCCTTGACCAGAATGGAACCTGTGACCCTTCAGTCTGCAGGCCAACACTTTATCCAATGAGCCAAACCAGTTAGGACAGAATGTTATGATTGGTAGCTTTTGCAGAGGGAGAGTTAGAAACATCAATGAGCGGGAAACATTGATCAGCCGCCTCTTGCACACACCCCATTGGGGATGTGCCCGCAAGCAAGACACATGCCCTTGACCAGTATCAAACCTGGGATCCTTCAGTCTGCAGGCTGACACTCTATCCACTGGGCCAAAGTGGTTAGAGCAGACTGTTATTTTTTAAAATATACTTTAACTAGAGACCTGGTGCATGAAATTCATGCATGGTGCAATACCTAGGCCTGGCCCTTGACCACAGTGCAAGGATTTGGCATGAAGGGCCCCCATGCATGCCCCGTTATGTGAGTCACTGCACCCAAGTCCTCAGGTGAAGGTGCTGTGAACACAGCTGGACACGGCAGGCCAGGGCACGGCGCGGCTTCTGGGCCACCCAGTGGCGCAATAAGCCAGGTAGGCAACTCGTTCTCTCCTGGCCAGCCTCACAGACTGGTTCCTGTGTGAACCCAGAGGAAGCCCAAACAGTCCCTGCAGTCCCAGCAGCTGGGAGAGGCTGCACAGCTGTGGGGCGGCTCCTCATGGGTGCCAGCATCTGAACACAGGGTGCTTCCCTGGAGCGTGAGCCCTGGTGGCAAGGTAGCTGGGGGAGAGGACTTCATTGGATACCCTGCATTCTCACCAGACCTGAGGACCCAGATAGCTGGCAAGAGGTCTCAGAGCATTACTGATGCCCACCATGTTCCATGCTGCCACCTAGGGGTCAGTGAATGTCATAGCAAGCAATGAAACTTCCCTTCTCCAGGGAACTATTTCCATATTAGGTTTTTAAATACAGAGGCCAGGTGCATGATATTCAATCCCAGGGGGAAGGGGTCCCTCAGCCAGGCCCTTTCCAATCTGGTACCCTTTGGGGGATGTCCGACTGCAGATTTATGCCTACTCTTTTAACAGATGACAGCTCCATTGTTGTATCTTTTCATGCTTAAACTCATTGGAATTAGTAGGTACTCAAAGTGTGTATACATTTGGGGGGCACACCCTGCATATCTCTAGTCAGTGGTGAAAGGAACCAATAACCAGTTTGAAACCCCCAGAAAGGGAACCTTGCTTACTGCCCACATATCTCCCCACTCTACCTTCACGGGCAACAGAAGAATCAATGTTTTCTCTCATTAACTCAGAAAAGCACATCCTGTCACCCACTGCCTGGCAGGTGTGCGATAGCAAGTGAGGCTCAAGTCAGGGAAGCCATCGTTCATGGGCACCGGCACCCCAAGTGCACATTCTTCTCTGCAGTTGCCCCAACTCTCCCGCCATTTCACGGAGATGAAGAACCTCCTTGTCTCCTCTGGGTTCCTAATCTCAAACAATGGCTGAAGGAACCTCAGCAAGGGTTGCTCTGCGCCCACCAGGTGTGTCTGTCAGCACCTGCTCTTACCTCAGCACCTGCATTAGCCCAATGGAGGCAATTTCATCACCGCACTAGACTCTTTGGGAACAAGTGTGTCACCATTCCACCCTCTCACTGTCATATCACAGGCACCCAACCTGATACCCAGACCCGCCCCAAAGGACGTGAGCATCCTGGGGTCGACAGAAGTGGAGTGGAGGGGCAGGGGAAACGAGTGTGCACCATGGTCTGGGCACGCACGAGTGACAGGGCACTAAAGGACATTCACACATGATGGGGAAGGAGAGCATACACGCACCAGAGGCCTCTGCAGATCCAAAAACCCGCAAGTCACAGCCAGGAAGATGTCAATCTGGTCCCCTATGGTGGCTGTCCCTGTGATTGCATACCTTCGGGGCCAGGTGGCTGTATGGGGACCAGCCAGCCATCAGGCAAGGGCGGCCTGATGAGAGGGGTCCACTGATGACCAGCATGTCTAGTCACAGGGGCTGCCGCCACCACAGCCACGTTGTCACTTGGCTCTGTGCTATCTCTGTCCCTGGCCCTCGGTGCAGGGAGCCAGGCTGCCTGCCTCCTCTAAGGCCAGGTGCACTCTTGAGGGCAGGATCTTCCCATAGGTTTCACTGGAAACAGTTCAGGAAGGGTGTTTCAGGGTCGGTGGCAATGAAGGGGGTGAGTGGCATGGAGGTGGTGCCTGGGCTTCTGTTAACTTACACAATGTGTTTTCTACCACAGCATGTGTTGGTGGCTGTAAGCGCTGCCAAGCAAAGCCTGTGGCCAAGCTGAAGCAGTGCCTGCAGGCCATCAAGAGCACTCACAGCCACTGCCATTGGGCACCACCTATCTCACCCTTGTCCCAACTCTGGGCAAGCGGCAGTAACCATCAGGAGCGCTCACAGGCACCAACGCCGGAACTTACACAGGAAAAGAGGGAGCGATAGAAATATCAATTATCAGAGGGTATCTTGAATCAGCTAGCTCCTGTATGCCCCACGTTGGAGACTGAGTCACCAACCAGAGCCTATGCCCTCACCAGGAACTGCCCCCTGACCTTGTGGTTCATAGGTCGAAGCTAAACCACCAAGGAATGCCAAGCAGTGCTTTAACACATTTTCTACAGCATAATGTTTCCTCCACTATAAACTTCTCTGTTATTCAGTAAATTATGAGCTGTGAGTACAGGCTCTTGCACATGTTCTCAATTTGTAAGGTCTCTCTTTAGTATGAAAGTCTCTCAGGTACAGTAATATAAAAATGCCTTTTAAAGACTTTTCTACATTTTTTCATGTTCAGAAAGCTTCTTCCCGTTCAAAATTCTGTGATGTTTAGTAAGTTCTCACTGTTGGTAAAGGATTTAAAACTCTCCTCACATTTGTAATACTTCTCGCCAGTATGGACTCTCTGATGTGCTGAGAGATTTGAGCCATTGCCAAAGGATTTGCCACATTTCCCACACATATAAGGCTTCTCTCCGGTATGAACTCTCTGATGGTAAATCAGGGCCGAGGAGTGCCTGTAGGCTTTGCCACATTCTCCACATTTATAAGGCTTCTCTCCAGTGTGAACTCGCTGATGCGTGGTGAGATTTGAGGACCAGCTAAAGGCTTTGCCACATTCTTTACATTTATAAGGCTTCTCGCCAGTATGAATTCTCTGATGTGAAGAAAGAATTGAAGCCCGGCTAAAGACTTTGCCACATTCTCTACATTCATGATGCTTCTCTCCAGTGTGAGTTTTCTGATGATCAGTAAGGGTTTGGGATTGCCAGAAGGCTTTGCCACACTCTCTACATTTGTAAGGCCTCTCTCCAGTATGAACTCTGCGATGATAAGTAAGGGATGAGGACTGCCTAAAGGCTTTGCCACATTCTTTACATTTATACAGCTTCTCTCCAGTGTGAACCCTATGATGTCTAATAAGGGAGGAGGAATCACTGAAGGCTTTGCCACATTCTCTACATTTGTAAGGTTTCTCTCCAGTATGAACTTTCTGATGTCGAATCACGTTCGAGGCATGGAAGAAAGCTTTACCACATTCTCTACATTTATAAGGTTTATCTTCAGTATGAACACCTTGATGATTAGTAACACCTGCATGGCTAATAAAGGATTCGCCATATTCTCTATATGTAAAAGGTTTCTCTCCAGTGTGAATTTTCTGATGATTAGTAAGGGTTGAGGGCCAGCTAAAGGCTTGGTCACATTCTCCACATTTATACAGCTTCTCTCCAGTGTGAACTCTCTGATGTCGATTAAGGGTTGCGGACTCACTGAAGGCTTTGCCACATTCTGTACATTGATAAGGCTTCTCTCCGGTATGAACACTCTGATGACGATTAAGGGAGGAGGACTGACTGAAGGCTTTGCCACATTCTCTGCATTTATAAGGTTTCTCTCCAGTGTGAATTTTCTGATGACTACTAAGGGTTGAGGGCCAGCTAAAGGCTTGGTCACACTCTCTACATTTATACAGCTTCTCTCCAGTGTGAACTCTCTGATGTCGATTAAGGCTTGCAGACTCACTGAACGCTTTACCACATTTTGTACATTTGTAAGGCTTCTCTCCAGTATGAACACTCTGATGACGATTAAGGCAGAAGGACTGACTGAAGGCTTTGCCACATTCTTTACATTTGTAAGGTTTTTCTCCAGTATGAACTTTCTGATGTCGAATCATGTTTGATATGTGGAGGAATGCTTTACCACATTCTCTACATTTATAAGGCTTATCTTCAGAATGAACACTGTGATGATTACTAAGAACCGCATGGCTGTTAAAGGATTTGTCATATTCTCTATATTTATAAGGTTTCTCTCCAGTGTGAATTCTGAGATGAATTCTAAATGCTGAAGGCCGGCTAAAGACTTTGCCACACTCTGAACACTTATAAGACTTTTCTTCTATATGATTTCTATGATGTTGATTATGTCTTGAGGACTGACTAAAGCCTGTTCCATTTTCTTCGAGTTTGCAAAATTTTGCTATAGTATGATTTCCTCCCTTATGTACAGTAAGAGATGAATGACATTTAAAGGCTTTGCTACATGCTTTATATTTGTAAGTCTTCTCTGCAGTGTGAATTTTCTGATTTAGAGTAGAACCTGAAGGCCAATTAGATGTTTTATTAGAATCTTTACATTGATAAGGTTTTTCCCCACTATGGACTTTTTCCATTATATTTAGATTGAATATTTGACTGAAGACTCTCCCACATGGATTCCATTTGTAAGCCTCTTCCCCAACATGAATATTCTCCTGTTCAGAGTAATTTGAAGACTGCTGAAAAGATTGGACACATTTACTTCCATTGTATGTCTTCTCCACAATAGGAATAACCTGAGGTATGTTGTGATTGGACATTTGGTCAATGACATTTCCACTGTTATAATGGTCCTCTGCAAGCTCACTAATCCGATAATTAAAATATGACTTCTGCTTAAACTTTTTCCAATGTTCAATCCATTGATAGTTGCTATTTCCATTATGTGTACTCTGGTAATAATGGGAGATATAAAGACCTTTAATAACGGTTATAATTTCATTATAACTCATTTCATAAGAACCATTTTGTGACATTTATTAAACCAAGATGGTTGTACAGAAAAAGTTTTCCTAATTTGTTAAAATTAGACAAAAAATAAAAACTAGTACAAAACATTGTCAGAGGAAGAAGAATGAATCTTTGTTTAAAAGACTATCAAATTTCCCAGCCACATGGCTCAGTGGTTGAGCTTTGATGTATGAACAAATAGGTCATGGTTCTGTTCCCATTCTGGGCACATGGCCTGGTTCCAGGATCAGCCCACAGTGGGAGGCATGTAGGAGGCAGCCAATGAATGATTTTCCCATCATTGATGTTTTTCTCTCTCTCGTCCTCTCCCTTACTCTCTAAAAAAAAAAAAAAAAAAAAAATATATATATATATATATATATATTTTTTTTTTTTTTTTAAATAAAAAGTATCATAAAAGATTGCTAAATTGAGTACATTTAATTTTACAGCTACAGTATAGATCTACACATTTTAGGACTGATTAAATGAAAATTTAACGCCACCCTACATTTTAAACATTTCAAATGATTATTTACACTGCGGACTGTGAATTCCTAGTTTATTCCGATCCCCTTTCCAAGAATACATAACAGTAAAAAGTTGTTTTTGATCATCATGTGCAAAAACATACTGATCTGCCAATGTAACTGACTTTAAAGTGGGAGGTTTTCCAAATGTTTAATATACTTGACCTCTATAGGTAACAAGAAATTTATTATGATAACTGTTTCAGATTAGTTTTGATTATATTAAAATCCTCCCTTCTCATCACACTCTTCCTGAAATTTTAAGGCTTTCATTAAGTGTACATTATCAAAACCACACCTTTTATATCTTACCAGTATGATTTCAGAGAATAAATCTGGTATTCCAGGATTTAGCATAAAGGCCTTGTCATTTTCAGATAACATAGCTGAAAGAAAACAAATTTTCAGTTTCGATAATCAGGTGAGTGCACTTTGAAGTTAACAGCAAGTATTGATCAAATGACATTTTTCATCACTCCAAGAGCCAGTCAAGAATTCAAAGAAGCCGAAACCGGTTTGGCTCAGTGGATAGAGCATTGGCCTGTGGACTGAAGGGTCCTGGGTTCGATTCCGGTCAAGGGCATGTACCTTGGTTGCAGGCACGTCCCCAGTAGGGGGTGTGCAGGAGGCAGCTGATCGAAGTTTCTCTCTCATCGATGTTCTGGCTCTCTATCCCTCTCTCTTCCTCTCTGTACAAAATCAATAAAATATATTAAAAAAAAAAAAGAATTCAAAGAAAGCTCAAGATAAATACAATGAAGAAAACTCACATCAAAGAAGAAGAAAGAGTTGCTTATATTTGCCAATGATACCTGCTCAAACACCCTGGCACACAATGGCCATATTATAAAAACACTCCCAATTCCCAGTTTTTTCACTGGAGAGACAAAGTGATGAGGGAAGTGTGTTTTCAATGATATCCCTGTTTGAAGAAGATGTGTCTATTGTGCATGACACAGTGTGGAAACAGAATGATGATAGTACAGGTGAGTGCTCTGCAGTGGCTGTGACAGAGAAACGACGAGCCGAAACCGGTTTGACTCAGGTAGAGCGTCGGTCTGCGGATTGAAAGGTCCCAGGTTCGATTCCGGTCAAGGACATGTACATTGGTTGTGGGCACATCTCCAGTAGGGGGTGTGCAAGAGGCAGCTGGTCAATGTTTCTCTCTCATCGACGTTTCTAGCTCTCTAGCTCTCTCCCTTTCTCTCTGTAAAAAATCAATAAAAATATATTAATAAAAAAAAAACCACAAAGAAACAACGAGGAAGTGTTCAAGCACCACAGAGACAGTGATATTGAAGATGTACATCAGCCCAAAAAGATACTGTGGGCCTGAGAAAGAAACAGGGGAGAATTCAACTGGGAAATTAAACATATAACTAAACAAAGAATACAGATCCTGAAAACAGTGTTGACTGAAAGTACACTTTGTTCTACAGATGGTTATTATTTGTTTCCTTCTATAGAAAGCATGTTCAAAAGTCTGCTTGTTTATAATTCTGGAATCTCAACAAAAGATATTAAGTTATGCAAAGAAACAGAAAAGGCCCTAACTGGTTTGGCTCAGTGGATAGAATATTTTTACTTTAATTATGTAATATTTTGGTGATATTATTGTAATTTTATTTCTCCTTTTTAGCTTTAAGATATTTAGTTCCATTATTTTCCAGGTAATTAATATATTTCCATTAATGTAGTGCACATTTGGATACTTTTATTTTGTGTTTCTGAGAGTATACTTTTTCTGTTTTTTTTTTTTTTTTAATAAGTTTTTATTGTTCATATTATTACAAATGTTCCTCTCCCCCCCCCCCCACCATTGCTCTCCTCCACCAGGTTCCCACCCCACCCTCTGCCCTTTCCCCACTCCCCATTGTCCTCATCCATAGGTGCACAGTTTATGTTCAGTCGCTTCCCACATCCCCCTCTCCCCTTTTCCCCAAGAATCGTCAGTTCACTCCCCTTCCATACCTCTGATTCTATTATATTCAACAGTTACTATTGTTCATCAGATTTTTTTTTTTAATTTCCTTGTTTTTTAGATTCACTTGTTGATAGTTACGTATTTGTTGTTCATAATTTTTATTTTTGTTTACTTTCTCTTCTGAAAGAACTCCCTTCAGCAATTCATATAATTCTGGTTTGGTGTTGATGAACTCCTTTAGATTTTTTTTATTAGTGAAGCTCTTTATCTGACCTTCGATTCTGAGTGATAGCTTTGCTGGATAGATTATCTTTGGCTGTAGGTTCTTACTATTCATCACCTTGAATATTTCTTGCCATTCCCTTCTGGCCTGCATGGTTTCTGTTGAGAAGTCAGCTGACAATCGTATAGGTGCTCCTTTATAGGTAACTACCTTCTTTGCTCTTGCTTCTTTTAATATTCTCTCTTTGTCTTTTGCTCTTGGAATTTTAATTATGATTTGTCTTGGTGTGGTCCTCTTTGGATTCCTTTTGTTTGGAGTTCTGTGCGCTTCCTGGACTTGTAAGTCTAATTCTTTCCCCAGGTGGAGGAAGTTTTCTGTCACTATTACTTTCAGTATGTTTTCAATATCTTGCTCTCTCTCATCTTCTGGGACCCCCATAATTCTGATGTTGGTTCGCTTGAAGTTGTCCCAGAGGTTTCTTACATTATCTTCAATTTTCTGGATTCTCTTGCCTTCTAGCTTCTGTGGAGGAGTGTCTTCTGGCTCTTTATGTTCCAAATCTTTGACTTGATTCTTGCGATCTTCCCTTCTGTATTTAGGACTCTGTAAAATATTTTTTATTTCAGACAATGTATTCTTTATTTCTTGTTGATCCCTTATCATTTCTTGTTGACTCCTTATTAATTCTAGTTGATTTCTTTTCATATCCTCATAGGTCTTATCCATCTTTTCTAGGAAATTCTTGAAAAATCTTATAAGCGTAGATTTGAACTCTATATCCAGCCGCTTTTTGTCCTCCATTTCTTTCGTTTGTGATCTATTTGGTTGTTGCATTTTGCAGCTACAGATGGGGCGGAGTTTCAGGGTGGAGCCCGCAGCCTTGGCTTCCGTCAGCCCCGCCCTATGCGGGTCCTTCAGTGCTCGCTGCCGGCGCCTCTGAGAGAAAGGTGCCCTCGACTTTCGCCTGCTGCCAAACAGTCTATGCTCTCCCCCAATGAGCCCAGTATTGGGGTTCAGTTCAATTGGAAGTGGAGCTGGAGGTGGCGTTCAGAGCAGTCCGGAGCCCCAGTCTCCTTCCCGCCAGGCAATCCCGCGGCACAGCCGGCCGTCCCTTCTCTGCGCGCACTGTGCACCGCCGCCGGGACTTCCTTTCGCCGCTTCCCCGGGTTCTGCCTTACAGCCCGGCTCCCTATGGCTGAGCCTGGGTCCCCGGGGTCTGGCCTAGGCCTGGGGTTCAGAGCAGTCGGGGGCCCAGCACAGTCGGAGCTTTTATCTCCTTCCCGCCAGGGAACGCCAGCCAGGCAGTCAGCCGCCCCTCCTCTCGGGCTCCATCCTCTCCGCGCGCCGCGTGTCTCCGTACCTCAGGCTTTTATAGCTCCTCCGCGCTTCCTTCTGGTTTTCTCCTTGCTTCTCGTTGTAGAATTTCCAGTCAGTCAACTTTCCTGTAGTTCTGGGTTATGTCCGTTTTATGTTTTAGTTGTATTTTATTGAAATTGTTGTGTGAGGCTGCAGCTAGGTATTCACCTGGGCGCAGCCATCTTTGAAAAAACCTGTTGTGTTTTTTTTTTAAACAATATATGTTTTATTGATTTTTTACAGAGAGAAAGAGAGAGGGATAGAGAGTTAGAAACATCAGTGAGAGAGAATCATCAATCAGCTCCCTCTTGCACACCCCCCACTGGGATGTGCCCTCAGCCAAGGTACATGCGCTTGACCGGAATCGAACCTGGGACCCTTGAGTCTGCAGGCTGACGCTCTATCCATTGAGCCAAACCGGTCAGGGCTGTGTGTGTGTGTGTATGTATATTTTAATGTCTAAAGCTATATGGTTAACTAACCTATAAGACAGATGGCAAGAACACACATTAGGTAAAGACAGATTATTCACCAAATAGTGCAAGGAAAAACTGAACAGATACATGCAAAAATAGTAAAACAAGATCCCGTTCATAGGCCATGAACCAAAATGAATTCAGCTTGTATTAACAACTAAAATATCAGACCTGAAACCATGAAAGCATAGTCAATGAACTTTACCATCATTCTTAAAAATACTGGTTTGGATATATCTTCCTACGCATAACAAAAAAACTAAAAAAATAAATAAAGAAATGAGACTACAAAACAGTAAGTTTGGCATAACAAAAAAAACACCAAGTAACAACAACAAAAACCCAGCAATGCTACATCCTCAAAAGCTAAAGATCCAAAATATTTAAGGAACTCACACAATTTAACACCAAAACTCAGTATGATTTAAAAATGGGCAGAGGACCTAACAAGGGACATAAAAGATGCACAATAGACATATTAAATGATGTTCAACTCATCCATCATCAGAGAAATGCAAATGGACACCACTATGAAATACCACCAAACACCTAACAGGATGCCAATCATCCATAAATCAAAATACGACAAGAATTACCAATGACTTGGAGAAATAAGAACATTTGTGATTAAAAAAAAAAAAAAAATTGTGAACTGTCAGCAAGATTATACTAGTAAACACATGTGCACAAAATTCATGCAAGGGACTCGGCCCTTGTAGCCCCATTAAGCTTTGACTGTTCAAAATAATTAGCATATTAGGTCTTTATTATAAAGGATTGGTGCAGCCACCATCAAAACACGATGAAGGATTTTCCAATATTTAAAAACAAGTACCAGGTAATACAGAGATTCCATTTATGGGGATTTATACAGAGAACACAAATTCAAAAAGATATACCCACTCATTTATCCACTGCATTATTTTCAATAGTGAAGATATGGGACTGGAAATAAAGGACTATTTTTATAATGATGTTCTGCCATTTAAAATAAAAAATTTCAAGCTGAAACTGGTTTAGCTCAGTGGATAGAGCATCTGCCTGAGGACTGAAGGGTCCCGGGTTCGATTCCAGTCAAGGGCATGTACCTTGGTTGTGGGCATATCCCCAGTAGTGGGTATGCAAGAGGAAGCTGATCAATGACTCTCTCTAATTGATGTTTCTATCTCTCTCTCTCCTTTCCTCTCTGTAAAAAATCAATAAAATATATTTTTTAAAAATAAAAAAATAAAATAAAATGAAAGACTTCATTAGACTTGACATGTAAGGATACAAAATTTATATCTCAACTCATCTCTTTCAAGATATGACTCACTGTGTTTATTCCAGAAATGACACAATAGCTGCAAAACCCTCCACGTTATTGAATATAAAACTACATTAATTTTATACTCTTCACACTTTTGAAAGACAAATACATAACCAAGTTTGTATTTCAATCCACTGTATTCAAATGGAAATTCCCAATGTATTAACTCAAACATTAAAGAAAAAACAGCAACAAATATGGTATCCACAACAGAAAAAAAGAAAAAAAAGAAAAAAGAAAAGGGATAGGCTGAGAAAATAGATTTGTAAAAGTCATCATGGCCAGCTTGCATGGCTCAGCAGCTGAATGTCAACCTATGAATCAGGAGGTCACAGTTCAATTCCTGGTCAGGGCGCACTCCCGAGTTGCGGGCTGGATGTCAAGTAGGGTGTGTGCGGGAGGCAGCCAATCAATGATTCTGATTATTGAGGTTTCTCTGCCTCTCTCCTCCCTTTCTGTCTGAAATCAATATATCAAAGTCAACAGGTACAGGACAATAGAACCAACATGGCTGAAAAGGACCAAGCAACAAAATATACTGAGTGGCCAGATTATTATGATCTCTGAATGCATAATAATCTGACCACTCAGTGTATATACACATAGAAAAATCACTATAACAAGTTCCTGCACTTCTTATGTCACTAAGGAAATGCACATTAAAACAATGAGAAGTAACAAAGAGCAGAGGCAAGCAACACTCAACCACCACAGAACAGGCCAGAATCCAGAACACCGACCCCACCATACCTTGGTGATGTGGAGCAACTGGAACTCCAATCTCTGCTGTTGAAAATGCCAAATGCTACAGCCCTTTGGGGAGACAATCTGGAGGTTTTTATAAAACTAAATATACACTCATCATGGGGTCTAGTAATTGGTCTCCTTACTATTATACCAAAGAGTTAAGGCTTTTATCTACACAAAAGCCTACAAGGGGCTGTTTATTCATAATTTACAAATACTGGGAGCAATAAAGAGGTCCATCAACAAGTGAATGGATAAATATGCTGAAGCACATACAATAAAGTCCTATTCACTACTATACTATCTAATAAAGAGGTTACATGCAAATTGACCACCACTCCAGCACACAAGATGTCCACACCATGAGGACATAAGATGGCCACCATAAAATGGTCTGCCAGCCTGATCACCCCCTAAACACTCCCCTGACAGCTTGATCGACGCCTAACTGCTCCCTATGTGGCAGTTCAGTAACCCCCAACTGCCCTTCCTTGCATCAGGCCAGCAAGGAAGGAAAGTTTGGAGGGACCAGGCCTAAAAGGGAGGGCAGTTGTGGGGAACCCAGGCCTGTAGGGGAGGGCAATTGGGGGGAACCCAGGTTTGCAGAGGAAGGCAGTTTGTGGGAACCAGGACTGAAAGGAGTTCAGTTGGAGGGAACCAGGCCTGCAGGGGAGTGCATTTGAAGGCAACCAGGCCTGTAGGGGAGGGCATTTGAGGGTGACCAGGCCTACCAAAGAAGACAGTTAGGGGCAACCAGGCCGGCAGGGGAGGGCAGTTAGGGGCAATCAAACCAGCAGGAGAGGGCAGTTAGGAGTGACCAGGCTGCCAAGGGTGGGAAGTTAGGTGTGACCAAGCCAGCAGAGAAGGACAGTTGGGGGCAACTTCTAGCCAGAAGACATGGTAGAATATTAGAATATTCTAAATAACGATTTTCTAAAATATTATTTTCTGATAGTTCCTTAATTAGTGTAGACAACATGTAATGTGTGCAAACACTGAGTTCCTAATTCACATATATCACAAAGCCTTTCTTTTATACACCACAGAATCCTCATTTTTTCCTTTTTTTTTAAAAAAAATAGAGGCACGGTCCACGAAATTCAAGCAAGATTAGGCTGTCCTTCCCAGCACTGGCGTCCCTCCTATACACAGGACCAGGGCTTCCATCACAGAGAGAGGCTCCGCCCAACACTCACCGCCCACTGGTTGGGCATGGACCTCTCTCTTTGGGACGATCACGGAGCAACCCGATACATCACCTAGCCAGCTGGTGGTGTGGGCCTCCCTCAATGGGATGATTATGGGGAGATGGCCGGGCCCCCAACCAATCGCATCAAACCTGTCTTGGATAATGGGGCATCAGTGAGTGTCATAGCATAATCCCAGATGGTATTTCCACTGTTTGGCCGTCTCGTTCATTTGCATATTATACTTTTATTATATAGACTATATTTTTATTGCTTTCAGAGAGGACAGAAGAGGAAGAAAGAGACAGAAACATCAATGAGAAGAATCATTGATCGGTTGTCTTCTGCATGCCACCTATTGGGGAGCGAGGCCACAATCCAGGCATTGGCACCTGACCAGAATTGAACCTGGGACTAGTTATTTATTTATTTATTTAAATATATTTTATTGATTTTTTTACAGAGAGGAAAAGAGAGGGATAGAGAGTTAGAAACATCAATGAGCTGCCTCTTGCACACCCCCTACTGGGGATGAGCCCGCAACCAAGGTTCATGCCCTTGACCGGAATAGAACCTGGGACCTTTCAGTCCGCAGGTCGACACGCTATCCACTGAGCCAAACCGGTTTTGGCGAACCTGGAACCTTTTAGTCTGCAGGCCACGGAGTCTAACCACTGAGCCAAACCAGCTAGGGCACAATTTGTTCCTACAGAACAAACTCTACCACAGAAAGCAGAGATCGAGTGGAGGAGGAATTCAGGAAGTCATCCTCACCCAGGGAGGCCAGGTTGCTGTAGTTCTCCCACATCACATCCAGGTACAACTTTCGCTGAGCTGGGTCCAGGCACTCCCACTCCTCCTGAGAGAAGTCTATGGCCACATCCGTGAAAGTCAACAGTTCCTGAAAGAAAAGACACACTTACCAAGAGGTCACCAGAGGAGTTCACCATGTCACCCAACATGAAACCAGTCAGAAGAAGAGGTTTGGACCGAGGGGGGGTATCCCGAGTCATCCAATAAGACCACTTTGTCCCAGTAACATTCTCTGATGTGTTTTCTAACACTGACACATGAGGATGAAGATGTCTGCAAATCCAGGTACAGATTTTACTTTACAGGAAAATAAACTCTAAAATTAGAGCATGGCCGTAGCCCACTGGTCGGTAAACTCATTAGCCAACAGAGCCAAATATCAACAGTACAACGATTGACATTTCTTTTGAGAGCAGAAAACCGACTTCTGCGCATGGCCACAAAGTTTCCATCGCACTGTCCATGCGGGCCTGCACGTGGTATTTTGCGGAAGAGCCACACACAAGGGGGCCAAAGAGCTGCACATGACTCCCGAGCCACAGTTTGCTGACCACTGCCCTAGCCGGTTTGCTTCGGTGGAGTGTCGGCCTATGGACTGGTTGGATTCCAGTGAAGGTCACAAGCTTGGGATGTGGGCTCCATTCCCAGTAGGGGGTTTGCTGGAGGTAGCCAATCAATGATTTTTCTCTCATCATTGATGTGTCTCTCTCTCTTTCTCCCGCTCTGAAATCAATAAAAATATATTAAAAATTAAATTAAATTAAGGCATGGACACAGCCGTATGGATTGCTGAGGGCTGCATTAGGGTCAGTGGCGTACATTTCGCAGCGGGAAATGAGATAGTGTGTTGGAAGTATACGGACTTCTTCTCAAATGTGAAGCAGACCGCAGCGAAATGTAAACACACAGGTTCCGATCCAGGTTCTGAGATGGGGCCTGGGTTCCCACATGTGTGACAGGTGTTCTCACTTTTCAACTGTGATGCCAATGTTTTCACACCATGTGCCATACTTCTGAATACAGAGAAAAAGAAAACACAGAAAATAATTCCTATACAAATTCGAACTAAAAGGCTTTGTTAATGGAATTAGGTTCTTATGGAATATGACACTTAGGAACCACAATCCTAGTGGGAAATTTACCATGAGTAATCTTAGAACTAGATTATTCTGGCTGGACTGGCTGATGTGGCCAAGTGTTGAGCGCTCATCCATGCACCAATGTGTCACTGGTTTGATATGCGGACATACGACCAAATTGCAGCCTCAATTCCCAGTGTGGAGTGTGCAGGAGGCAGCTGATCAATGATTCTCTCATCACTGATGTTTTTCCACCTCTCCTCCCCATTCTGAAATCAGTAAGAACATGTATTAAAAAAGAGAGAGCAGAGATATAGAAACTGCTGACCTTGACAATCATAAGAAAAAAGGAAATGAAGAAATAAAGATGAAGTACCTGGAAAGGCAAGAACATCAGAAGTAGAGAAGGAGAGGAAGGAGCACAGAGGGATGAAGGGGACTGAGAGGGAGAGGCGTCCTGGTGCACAGAAGTGGCGGCAACAAAGGGGGAGGCATTCAGACAGAGACACTGGTTCAGAAGAGAAGAATTGGGGGGAGCGAGTGTAGGGACAGAAAGGGGGGCTTAGGGATGAGGGAGCAGAGTGAGAGTCAGCCAGCTGTGGGGAACAGGGCAGACTGTAACAGGGGCAGCAAAGGGGACACAGGTGTGGGGAGGGAAAGAGAAATAGATCAACAGATGTTTCAGAAAAAGCAAACACAGCCTCTGACACATCTTTTACCTGAGAAGCAGCCATTGGTCCTGGTCCTGATGGGGTCTGGGTTGTTTCCTCAAGTGACAGTATGTTGAGGAGTCACAGAATGTGCCTTCAAAGGCGTCCGCACAGCCTGGTAATCAGCTCCCCTCACACTCAGTCAGAAGGACCTGGAAATAAGGAAAAGAAAACCCCCTCCTGTCCTTGGTCACAGGAGAGAGTCAGCAGCAATGAGCTCCCACGTGGAGACCACACTGTGACAGGTTTTGTTTTGTCTTCATGTGTCTGTCTTTCCAAAGACTTCCACAACCTCCTACAGCAGTGAGAGCATGTGCAGCTCGACTGTAACCCCAAAACCAAAACAATACCCGTAGGTCCCCTGAAAAAGTCTGCCCTGGGGCCCATGACAGGGCACCTTTAACCAGTTCCCTCCTGGGGCCTGCGAGGCTCCCCCAGAGCTGTTTTCAGTCGCGCTGGGAACCCAGCACACCTGAGACCTCTGGGCAGTGGGAGGGGGTGGAATCGGAACTTGTACCCGTGCAGGTTTCCTCCCCCCTTTCCCAGGAAATTACAGAGAATAGGTCTTCATGCTAAAGCCTTTGGGGAAAGTTAGCTCCTGAAATGTGCTCATCCAATGACTTCACCATGAATACAGGGGCCCTGTGGGAACCAAGTTCCAGTTCAATCCAGTCCATCCTTCAATAGTTCCAGAGAATGGACAAGAGGGACTTAAGGGAACAGCTCCTTTGTGGCTCACAGACACTAAATCAAGAAATCAGCCGAAACCGGTTTGGCTCAGTGGTAGAGCGTCGGCCTGCAGACCAAAAGGTTCCAGGTTCGATTCCAGTCAAGGGCATGTACATGGTTGCAGGCACATCCCTGGTGGGGGGTGTGCAGGAGGCAGCTGGTCGATGATTCTCTCTCATCAATGTTTCTAGCTCTCTATCTCTCTCCCTTCCTCTCTGTGAAAAATCAATAAAATATATATTAAAAAAAAAAAATCACATGAAGGGAAGGAAAGAGGTGCTGAACACTAGACCAGCTCACACAACTAGCTCCCGACTGTGAAGATCATTGCCATCCTTACCACGTGCACACTGAGATCGCCTCATATCGCTAAGTGAAAGTGAATGTCTCGATGTATGATAGACAGTAGAAAGGATGCAGGGCTCAGACGCTGAATTACACACAATACATTTAAAGCCAGAAACAATCAGCGTTCTGTCGTTTTAATGTACTGACTTCTAGATTTAAAGCTTTAATAAGGTGAAGACCATGTTATATTAAGCAAAGAACGATGAGAGGTGAGTGTCCGACATCCCCACTGCTGATGTCAGAAGTTAATGGTCATTTACATGAATTAAATCTCAGAGATTCAAAAAGAAAATCCATGGGAGAGGGGGGGAAAAAAAAAAAAAGATCGAGTGCTTCTAATAATCCTTGATAAAGCATCCCTCAGTCATCTCTGGTCCCAGGTCACCTCCTTCTTGCCATCCTGGGTAATGACAAGGGACCCGTGATCAACATACCAGGCTCTCTCTCTGTGAGTAAGGCTGCAAATGGAAACAAAGAAGTATACAGTTTGCAAGTCTTACAAACAGATTTGTCATTCTCGAACAGATTTGTCATTCTCGTTCAAATCTGTTTAAACCAGTGGTTCTCAACCCTCCTAATGCCGCGACCCTTTAACATAGTTCCTCATGTGGTGGTGACCGCCAACCATAACATTATTTTTGTTGCTACTTCATAAGTATAATTTTGCTACTATTATTGATCGTAATGTAAATATCTCATATGTAGGATGTTTTGGCTTGGGTAACCCCTGTGAAAGGGTCGTATGACCCCCCCACAGGTTGAGAACCGCTGGAAACAATTCCATTGTTAAATTAAACATAAAAAGCCACAAGCCAATATATCAAACTTAACCATCCACACCCCATCAGCTCACCCCTCACCCAGATTAGGGTTCCTCCCTCCCACTGCTATGTATTTCTGTCTATGGGTCTGTCTGTCTCCCAGTTCCCTTTCTCTCCACTGCGGTCCTTTCCTGTGTCCCCCTCCCTAACCTACCTACCCTTTCCCCCTTTTCTCTCTCTCTGTCCCTACTCCTGGACCATGAACCTCCTGAAGCCCATTTCCCTTCCGGGGCTCTCTCTCCTGGTCTCTCTGCTCCCATCTCACACACGCCCGTGTCCCCGCTGCTGCCTGTTGGAAACTGTGCCCCTGGCACTCAGATCTGACTAATGGGGCCCAGGAGGGCGGGCGCGGACCCCCAGGCCGGGCCATCCGGGCTCTTGGGCGGGAAGCGCCGGGCGGGGAGGGCAAAGGGCGGGAACCACTGACCGGACCTCCAGCCCCGCGGGGGCCCCGGCGGCCCCGGGGACGGTTTTCGGCGGGAAAACCACGCGGCGGGCGGGCCCACAGCCACCGGCGGACAGACCGCGGGCCGGGCCTCAGTTTCCCCCACAGGAACGCGGCGCCTCCACTGCGCAGCCGCCGGGACGCGCACTCACCGCCGGGAGGGGCTCCGGGCGGGGCTCCCACACGGACCTCAGCGCCCGCGGCGCCCTCAGCCCTCCCTGCGGGGCGGGGCCGGGAGCAGCGGCTTTAAAGCACAGACACCTCCTCAGGGGCCGCCACCCGCCCCTCCGCAGCCGCTTCCGGCTGCCGGGACTGCGCATGCGCCTCCCTGCGGGGGCGGGGCCCGAGCGGAGCGGCTCCGCGGTGGGGGCGGGGCCAGGGGGAGGGGCGGGGCCAGGGGCGGCCTGGGCCCCTCCCCCTCCCACAGGGACAGCCCTTCCCGGGGGAGTTCCTGTCATTGTTGGGTTCGGCTGGGGGCGCGGCTGTGACAGGATTCACAAGGAGAGAAGGGACAGGAGCAGGGAGGGCGGTGATTTTGCTTCTTTAAAGGGAGGAGCGGGCCCGGTGCCCTCTGATGGCACAAGGCCCCCACAGAGAGGGGCTGGTCTTCTGTTAGGGAGCCAGCGAGGAAAGGCAGCTGTGGCAGAAGCAGAAAGAGGGGAGGAAAGCTGAAACGGATGACTCTGGATACAGCATTGGCGTGCGGACTGAAAGGTCCCAGGTTCTATTCAGGTCAGGGGCATGTACCTTGGTTGCGGGCACATCCCCAGTGGGGGGTGTGCAGGAGGCAGCTGATCAATGTTTCTCTCTCATGGATGTTTCTAACTATCTCTCTGTAAAAAAAAATCAATAAAATATGTTTCCAGATCCCAGAAGCTGTGCTCAGAGCTCCTGGCTGGCCTGCCCTTCAGCTGCACAGGCCCCAGGGAGGTGTCTTTCCCAGGATCTTCACAGGCAGGTAACACTTTCTCACAGGAAAGTTGCAGAGAATTGAAAAGGCGGGCAGATGGGGTTTGAAACCAGAAACTTTCTGCCTCTGATTGGCCTGGATCCTTAAACCCTCAGTGAGGAGGGGGTAGGGGAAGGGCAGCCTGCTCTCTCAGCCCCTCCCTGTTTCTCCATCTGAATGGAGAGGCAGCTTGAGTTAGGGAAGCAGGTGGATGGGGGTGTCAGAGATAGACTCAGACATCCATTCATGGGTAGGCACCTGAGATAAGATCCCATGGGAAACAAATTTCATTTGATTTCAAAGGTTAATAAAAAAAAAATCTAGTTGTTAGTTGAGGTCTTTGAAGTCTTTGTGTTCTGGGAAGGCATTTTTAAATGAATATTTTAACTTTAGTCATCCCTATAACCTAGTTAATGGGACAATGATATTAATGTAGAATGTCTCAAGTTAGTTTTCCTTATATTTGGGAAACAAAACAATTTTTAAATCAAGAATATTTAAAAATTATAAGAATAACTATTATCAGTTTACTCACTTCCATAACACTTTATTTTCCAGGATTTTCATGAATATAGGTATTCATTCGAATTTTATGAATCTTTATTTAAAAATATGACCTGTTTAGAAATCTGTAATTTAAAGTAAGTCAGTGAAAAGCGGTTTGGCTCAGAGGATAGAGGGTCAGCCTGTGGACTGAAAGGTCCCAGGTTTGATTCCTGTCAAGGGCATGTAACTTGTTTTAGAGCACATCCCCAGTAGGGGGTGTGCAAAAGGCAGCTGACCGATGTTTCTCTCATAGATGTTTCTAACTATCTCTCTTCCTTCCTCTGTGTAAAAAAAATCAATATATTTTTAAAAAATAAAGTAAGACCAGAGGATTATGTTTAACTTATACTATTTAATAAAATCCTGATATACAAATTTACCTAACAGCAGAACAAACAGTAACTATGACCAGCAATGACCACCAGGGGGCAGACGCTCATTGCAGGAGCTTCCCCCTGGTGGTCAGTGTGCTCCCACAGGAGGTGTGCTGCTCTGCCTGAAGCCAGGCTCATGGCTAGCAATCGCAATGGCCAGAGCCACTCCCATTGCAGCAGCAGTGTTAAGGAGCAGAGAGCTGGCAGGCAGGAAGGAGTGAGGGGTCCCAGACTGTGCGAGGCCACAGGGAATGCTGAGGGCCACTCCCTGCCGCCCCCCGCACCCCGAGTGCACATATTTCAAGCACTGGAGACTCTAATAAAAGAGCAATATGCAAATTGACCATGCCTCCACCACACCAATAAGCCATGCCCACCAGCCAATCAAGAGTGAGCATGCAAATTAACCCAACCAAGATAGCTGTGACCACAGAGTGAGCAGGAGGCTTGGGTTTCCCCAGCGATGGAGGAAGCCACACTTCCTGGCCTGCCCTGGCCTCTCAAGGCTACATTTCAAATATAGAAGATTAATAAATCCTAGCTACCAGGACCTCTGCTTCGGTCACCGGGGGACATGGCAGGCCTGAAAACCACCATAGGGCCTTCACCCAGGCCACCCGACAACCCAAGGGAACCCCCACCCTGATCTGGGATACCCTTCAGGGTAAACCAGCTGGCCCCCACAAATGCACCAGGCTTCTATCCTATCTAATTAAAGAGTAATATACAAACTGACCATCACTACAACACATAAGATGGCTGCCCCATGAGGTCAAAGATCCTGACCCCATGTGGACACAGGATGGCCACCACAAGATGGCAAGCAGGAGAGCAGTTGGGAAGGGCCAGGCCTGCAAGGGATGACAGTTGGAGGCAATCAACCCTGTAGGGGAGGGCAGTTAGGGTTGGCCAGGCTGGCAGAAGAGGGAAGTTGGGGGCAAACAGGTTGGCGGGGGAGCAGTTTGACATTAATCAGGCTGGCAGGCAGAAGCAGTTAGAGGCAATCAAGAAGGCAGGGAGGTGAGCAGTTGGAAGCCAAATCCTGGATTGAGAGGGATGTCCGACTGCCTGGTTAGACCCAATCCCATTGGATGTTAAACTGCCCATTTAGACCCATTGGGATCGGGTCTAAATGGGCAGTTTAACATTCCTTGAGGGGTCCCAGATTGGAGAGGGTGCAGGCTGGGCTGAGGGACACCCCTTCTCCCTGCGTGAATTTCATGCACCGAACCTCTAGTATTCTAAATAAAAATATGAAAACCAATATTGTAAGTGCAACCATTGGCCAAAATGCACATCACAAACATTTAAGATGTATTATATTACTAATCTTCTGAAGCTGGAGGCTAAAGCAAACAGCTCTTAGTATAAATGTGCAAAAGAGACACTGGAAGGCCAATGGACTTTGATATTCAGCAGGGCTTAATATCAGCACAAGTTTGCCCTGCTGTGATTGCAATTGTTCCAGGCTATTTTCTGACCTGATAATCTTTTTATAAAAATATATTTTATTGATTTTTTTTACATAGAGGAAGAAATAGGAATAAACACATTGATGAGAAAGAAACATAGATCAGCTGCCTCCTGCACTCCTCCTACTGGGGATGTGACCAGAATCAAAGCTGGGACCTTTCAGTCCACAGGCTGATACTCTATCCACTGAGCTAAACTGATTAGGGCTGACCAGATAATCATTACATTGTATACCAAACTTTACCTTTGATCTACCTGTATGCATTACTAAGGGGGAAATGTGTATTCAAACTGAATTAAGAGCCAGCATGACCTGGTGTCTCAGTGTTCTTCACAAAAGAGGTTCCATCTTCCTCTCTGTAGAAACTCAATAAAATATATTAAAAAAAAAAAAAAAAAATGGGTGTGTTGCCCTATTGTACCACATTCCCACTGGCTGAGGGTTGTGGATGAATTCATGTATTTGTATAGTGTATTAATTCTGTCGTCGGTCTCCTTCAAGTCATACTAAACTTGCCGGGAAGGTCATGGCATTCTGATATAATAATGTAATAACTGTGCTTCATTTGGTCCTTTGAATGGAGGCTAATCAATTAGGAAACATGAACATATAATAATTTTATGCACTTCGGGATGAGTTGTCTATATACGTTCTCAGATATGCCTCATAGCTTCTTTATTTTACCACATCAACCAATGTTCATCACTTCAATCTATGCTTACTTTGAAGATACATCAGGATTTTGGTGAACTGCCACCATATTTCCCTGAAAGTTTAACTGGCAAATTTAGTCAAAATTTATAATGCCCTTTGCGATGACTTAAAACAACATTCTAAGTCAACCACAGTCTCCATTTAGATGGTCTTCAAGCAGTGTGCATTACAATATATGCAATATTCCATGGAAAAGAATATATCAGTGAAACCCATGCAATATACAAGACCTCATAGGTATTTAAGGCAGTAACAACCCCATAACTTCACACAAACATCAGGAATAAAACATGGTAGAATCAGTGATATGGGAAGCAAAAATCACATTAATATTTACTTTTCAATATATCGCAAATAATGTCAATAAAAAATAGACAACACTGTAAGTAATTAAATTATGGAAACATTGCTTCTTTTAATATATTCAAGCATACTAAAAATTACTTATGTTCATTGAAACATTGGATTATTCTCTATAAGTATTCTGATTTAGAGTAATACCTGAAAAATATTGACTATTCATCTAGTGTGAATTCTGTGATACTTTAAAATTTAATTTCAAATGCATTCCTAAAAACTTTGGAAATGTTTTTACGCTTTTGAGAAGCATTTTTTTTTTTTTTAAACAAAACTCTTTCGTCCTATATCATGAACATAGAATTAAGTCCAAATTGCAATCCCTGATATTGACTGAGACTGCAGGTCCAACTACAGGATTTCCCACATTCTTTAGTTTTAGGATTTCCCTCTGCTATACATTTTAATGTGAGGAAAAAATTATAAATGTGGGATAAAGATTTTTGAACATAGTTTACATTTCATTGTTTCTCCCGAGTATGAATTCTGATCTCAAATATGGTTCACGTATGGAGTGACACTTTGCCACATTCTTTATATTTGCCGGGCTTCACTCCAACAATAATTATGACATGATGAATAACATATAAATGAAAATATACACTTTGGCACAATTGTTACAATTTATAAAACTTAATTTGATCATACTCAATGAAATTAGAACATTCATTAAATCTTTGAGCAAATTCTTTATATTTTTCCTGTTTCTATTTAGAATGATTCCCTCCAATTATGAGTAAGTTTAAGTACTTACTCATAATTTGTGATGACATAAAACAACATTCTAAGTCAACCGCAATCTCCATTTAGATGGTCTTCAAGCAGTGTGCATTGAAAAGCATTGCCACATTTTCCTTTGGTAACATTTCACTCCATTATTTTTTGTTGCATGAGACACCAGTCCTGATTACAGGCTTTTGACAAACTCACTATATTTATAGGTCTGCTCTCCTGTATGAATTTTATTGTGTTGAGAAAGACATCAATGGACATTTAAAAATGTGCCTAATTCTTCACATTTGTAAGGCTTCTCTTCACAATGAATTATCTGATGTTCAATAAGATCACACTGACAGGAAAAGGATTTCCACGCTCCTTACATCTGTAAGATTTCTCTCCACTATGAAGTCTCTCCTGTACAGTAAATCACGAAAATCTTTAAAAGCTTTTCCACATCTCTCAAAGTCATAAGGCTTCATCCCAGTATGAATTTTATGGCGCTCGGTAAGTCAGTCCTCACTGCTGGTGAAGTACTAATGACACTCCTTGTAACTCTTAAGGCTCATCTCAAGTATGTACACTTTGCTGTACGATAGGACAAGTACACTGGTTGAAGGTTTTGCCGCATTCTCTACATTTATAAGGCTTCTATAGATTATGAACTCTCTGATGATAAGTAAGACTTGAGGACCTGCTAAAAGCTTTGCTACATTCTCTACATTTATAGGGTTTCTCTCCGGTATGAACTCTCTGATGATAAGTAAGATTAGTTGCCCCACTGAAGGCCTTGCCACATTCTGTACATTTATAAGGCTTCTCTCCAGAATGAACTCTCTGATGCTTACTAAGGTTTGAGGACTTACTGAAGGCTTTGCCACACTGTCTGCATTCATAAGGCTTCTCTCCAGTGTGAACTCTCTGGTGTACAGTAAGGGTTGAGGACCTGTTGAAGGCTTTGCCACACTCTCTACATTCATAGGGCTTCTCCCCAGTGTGAACTCTCTGATGATAAGTAAGGTTTGTTGCCACAACAAAGGCTTTGCCACATTCTCTACATTTATAAGGCTTCTCTCCGGTATGAAGTTTCTGATGCCTGTTAAGGTTTGAAGAATTACTGAAGGCTTTGCCACATTCACTACATCTATAAGGATTCTCTCCACTGTGACTACTCTGATGAAGACTACACCTTGAGAATCTCCTGAAGGCTTTGCCACATTCTCCACATTTATAGGGCTTCTCTCCAGTGTGGACTCTCAGATGATAAGTCAGGGATGAGGATCTGGTAAAGGCTTTGCCACATTCTCCACATTTATAGGGCTTCTCTCCAGTGTGAACTCTCTGATGAAAAGTAAGTGTTGATGCTGCACTGAAGTCTTTGCCACATTCTCCACATTTATAAGGCTTCTCTCCAGTATGAACTCTCTGATGATAAGCTAAGTATGATGCCCCACTGAAGGCTTTGCCACATTCTCCACATTTATAGGGCTTTTCTCCAGTGTGCACTCTCTGATGATAAGCAAGGCTTGAGGCCGCAGTGAAGGCTTTGCTACATTCTTTACATTGATAGGGCCTCTCTCCAGTATGAACTCTATGATGTTGATTAAGGACTGAGGACTCACTGAAGGCTTTGCCACATTCTCTACATTTATAAGGCTTCTCTCCGGTATGAACACTCTGATGACGACGACATTTCGAGGACCTCCTAAAGGCTTTGCCACACTCTCCACATTTATATGGTTTCTGTCCAGTATGAGTTATCTGATGGCCCGAAAGGGTTGTGGAGCACCTGAAGGCTTTGCCACACTCTCTACATTTATATGGCTTTTCTCCAGTATGAATTCTCTTATGATAAATAAAGGCTGAGGACCGGCTGAAGGATTTGCCACATTGTCTGCATTTATAAGGCTTTTCTCCTGTATGGATTCTCTCATGTTCACGAATATTTGAAAGGAAATTAAATGTTTTACCACATTCTTTACATTTATAATGTTTTTCTCCAGTTTGGAATTTCTTAAGTTTATTTAGATTGAGTATTGGACTGAAGAGTCTTGAACAGAAATCAAACTTGTAAGCTTTCTCTCTGATATGAATATCGTCTCGTTCAGTATGATTTGAAGATTGTTTCAAAGGTTTGCCACATTTACTTTGTTTGTTTATTTCTGCAACAGTATGAATAAACTGAAGTATACTTTGATTTGACATTTCATCAAAGACTTTTCCACCATTATAATGGTACTCTGGAAACTGAATTTTCTGATGCATATTACAATTTGACCCTTGGTTAAAAATTTTCAAATGTTCCTTGCATTGATAAATTCTGTCTTCATTGCATGTATTCTGGTAATCATTAAAGATGGAAAAGCCTTTAGTGACAGCTATAATGTCATTAAACATGTACACTTTTTTTCAAATAACTATTTTGTGGTAAATATTAAACCATGATGGTGTGTAACAAAAACTCTCCTTCCAGGCTGGTGTGACTCAGGGGTTGAGCAACAAACCATGAACCAGGAGGTACAGTTTTATTCCTATTCAGGGCACATGCCTGAGCTGTGGCCTTGATCCCCAGTAAGGAGTGTGCAAGAGGCAACCAGCTAGTCAATAATTCTCATCACTGATATTTCTCTCTTCTGTCTCCTTCTCCTTCCTCTCTCTTAAGTTGATAGACATATTTAAAAAAAGATCCCAAAGTTTATAAAAAATTATAGACATTTGTGTCAAAAATATTATTTCTCAATAGAAGTATATGATACCTTAATATAAAAGTCAACAAACTAATTGCAATTAAGTTTTGTGTGTTCATTATAAATCACTATATTCTAGAAAAGATTGGAAATTTCATCCCACACTACACTGTATTAATTCTTATATTTACAGCATATTAATAGATTATATAAATTCATAGATTTTCAGTATTTTCATTTAAAGAATGTATAATATTAAAAACATTATATTTGGACTTCACATTTAGAAATATATTAATTTAAAAATATAACTAATTTAAATTGGGATTATTACCAAATATGTAATACTTTTGATTTCATTAAGTGACAATGATTTTATTATGAATAACTATACCACTTTACTTCTGTCCATGTTAAAATACTTTTTTCTCATTTACCCTCTTCAAATTCTAAGGTTTTCACTAAATGTACATTATCAAAGCCATACATTCAATATCTTACCAGTATTATTTTAGGCAATGAATCTCTTATTTTTGGCTTTTTCAAAATGGCCTGGTTGTCTTCAGATAAGAGAGCTGAAAGATATGAAATAAAGTTTCACAGTTATGACGCCCAGAGGAAATGCACACTGAACTAACCAGCAATTACTGACCAAATGACATTTTTAAAAAATATATATTTCCCGCCGAAGCTGGTTTGGCTCAGTGGTAGAGCATCGGTCTGCGGACTGAAAGGTCCCAGGTTCGATTCCGGTCAAGGGCATGTTCCTTGGTTGCAGGCACATCCCCAGTAAGGGATGTGCAAGAGGCAGCTGGTCGATGTTTCTCTCTCATCGATGTTTCTAGCTCTCTATCTCTCTCCCTTTCTCTCTGTTAAAAATCAATAAAATATATTTAAAAAAAAAAAAATATATATATATATATATATATATATATATATATATATATATATATATATATAAATAAATTTCCTGTCAGCTGATTTCTCAACAGAAACCATGCAGGCCAGATGGGAATGGCAAGAAATATTCAAGGTGATGAATAGCAAGAACCTACAGCCAAAATTACTCTACCCAGCAAAGCTATAACTTAGAATCGAAGGCCAAATAAAGAGCTTCATAAATAAAAAAAAGCTAAAGGAGTTCATCGCCACCAAACCAGAATTATATGAATTGTTGAAGGTGGTTCTTTAGGAAGAGGAAAAAAATAAAGATAAAAATTATAAACAACAAATATGTAACTATCAACAAGTGAAACTAAAAACCAAGGGAATTAAAAAATCTGATGAACAATATTAACTGGTGAATATAAAAGAATCAGCGGTATGGAAGGGGAGTGGACTGACAATTCTTGGGGGAAAAGGGGAGTAGGGGGTGCTGGAAGAGACTGAACAAAAACTGTGCACCTATGGATGAGGACAATGGGGGGTGGAGAAAGGGCAGAGGGTGGGGTGGGAACCTGGTGGAGAGGAGGGATGAAGGGAAAAAAATAAAAGAGGAACATTTGTAATAATCTGAACAATAAAGATTTATTTTTAAAAAAATAAAAACGTAAATAGAAATAATATATATATTTCCTTATTGATTTCAGAGAGGAAGGATGGAAGAGAGAGATAGAAACATCAATGATGAGAGAGAATTGATTGGCTGCCTCCCGCATTGCTCTTACTGGGGATCGGGCCCACAACAATTCTATACATGTGCCCATGGCTGGAATCGAACCAGGGACTCTTTAGTCTGCAGTCCGAAGCTCTATCCCCTGAGCCAAGCCAGCCAGGGCCACATAACGTTTTTGAGTACTCCAAAATTAAGTTAAATGTTCACAGCAAGACCAAGAAAGGTACAAGGAAAAGTCACATCAAAGAGAGTTAAAAAGTTGCTTCCATTTGCCACCAGTACTTGAAAACACTCTAGCAGAACTGCCACTTCCTAGTTTCTTCTCTGAAGAGATAGATATGAGGGTACTGTGTGTGTTCAATGATCTTGTGGTTTTGCAGTATCTTGAAGGATGTGTTTCTGTTTTGCATGATACAGATTGCTAAACTGGTACATGGTGAATGCATTGTAATGGCTGCTTAAGAGAAAAAGTGGGTGACTGGTCAACATGGTTCAGTGGCTGTGCATCAACTTATAAACCAGAGTGTCATAGTTAGATTGTTGGTAAAGGCACATGCGTGGATTGTGGGCTTAATCCCGTGTTGAGGGGCAGGAGGCATTTGATCAATAATTATCTTTCTGGGGGACATATGTCATAATTTTAACAATAAAGAATCATTAAAAATAAATATAATTCTCACTCATCATTGATGTTTCTCTCTCTTCTTCTCTGAAATCAATTAAAAAGTATTTAAGAAAGGAAAAAGAACATATGAGTAATTGTACAAACACTACAGAGACTGTAAAAACACTTAGCAAGAACAAAAAGAGCCGAAACCGGTTTGGCTCAGTGGATAGAGCGTTGGTCTGAGGACTAAAGTGTCCCTGGTTTGATTCCAGTCAGGGGCATGTACATTGATTCTGAGCACATCCCTAGTGGGGGGTGGGCAGGAGGCAGTTGATCAATGTTTCTCTCTCATCCATGTTTCTAACTATCCCTCTCCCTTCCTCTCTGTAAAAAAATCAATAAAATTTTAAAAAAATTAAAAAAAAACAACAAAAAGATATTTTGGGTTATGGGGAAGAAATAGAAAATTATTTTAACTTGGGACTTACACTCTGCCCCCAAACAATTTTGACAGAAATTAGAATTTCTACCTCAGGTGATTGTTATTTATTTTCTTTTACAAAAAGCAAGTCCATAAGGCCTGGTTGTTTAAATTCCTAAACCCCAACAAGAGATATTAAGAATATTGAGAAAAACTAAAAAACATGGTCCAAACATAAAAGTATCTATGAAATAAACTGGAATAAAAGGGAAGCTAAAAAATATGCACCAGAATAAAAATATAACAGAATTATCAATGAGAGATATGACCAAGCTGAAGAATCAAAAAACTTGCATACTACATTGAAGATTTTGATAGAGGGAAGCCCACAAGGGACACTACCAAATCGACCACTTTGCATAGCAAATCGAGTGACATAAATACTGAGTAGTAAAAAGGAGTGATAACAGATAAGAAACTAAGAGTTTAAGACTTGGGGAGCAATGTCAGCAAAATGGAGGCAAGAGAGATCACCCAGACTTTTCCTCCTGCAACTAGAATAAGTTAATCAACTATATCTCAACAAGAAATTCCCTGCTCATTATAGAAGCCTGACCGAGGGACCACCACACTGAAACACCTAGAGGTGTGCAACCAGGAATAGAAGGCGAAGAAGGGAGGAGAGGCCAGATGGCCATGGACACAGCCCTGCAGCAGGAGCTGGTGACCAGCTCCATCCAAAGAGGGGGGGGGGGGGCGGGGAAGCTGGTGGTATTAGTTGTTTCCATGGGGCAGAACAGAGAGTCTCAGTGGGCTCTCCAGCAAGGTGAGCAGTGAGAATAGCAGCTGAGCCAGCAGAGATGCCTGGGCAAGGACATAGCATAGGGGTTCTGCCATGACTCTCTGCTGTGGTGTTTCAGACAGAGCGATGTAGCCACAGAGTGCAACCCTCTCCCTTAGATTCCCAAAACTTGCTTCCACTTGTTCTGGGTCAGAGACCACAGTATCAGCACAGAGATCTAGTGCAATAGAATCGCTGTTGACTTCTGTGATGGATTACCAGGTGAGGTCTGTGGGGGCACCCACAGAGGTCTGGGGTCACCATTACAATAACGGCAAAACTAACGCCCACCAGAGCAGCAGGGCTGCAGTCAGCTCTATGAATTCACTGAGTTAATAAATGTTGATCTCACTCTGGGGATTGCGTCCACAACCTGGGCCTGTGCCCCCATGAAAAACAAACCATGGCCTCCAGGTTCATGGGCTGACGTTCAACCACTGAGCCACGCCAACCAGGCTCCACTGATTTTTAAAGAAAGTGGAAGAGAGGGGAGAGACAGAGAGAGAGAAACATTGATGTGAGAGAGATACATCGATTGTTTGCCTCTGGCTTGCACCCTGATCAGAGCCAGAGATCAAGTCTGCAACCCAGGTATGTGCCCTTAACCAGAATCGAACTGGGACCTTTCAGTCTGCTGGATGATTTTCTATCCACCGAGCCAACTGGGCTCCATTAATTTTTAAAGAGAGTGGGATGCAGAGAGGGAGAGTGAGAAAGAAAGAAACATTGATTACTAGCCCCCGCTAATGGGGCCAGGCAATGAACCCATGACCCTTTGGAGCTTGGGTGGATGTCCTAACCACTGAAGCACACCAGCCAGCGTTTTCCTATCATTTTTTCATGCCCATATGATAAACATTTGTAACCTATATAAAAAGCAACAAAACAAGATGTCACTTCAGAAGAATAAGTACAATCAGGATCAAAGAAACAAAGTATAGAGGGATGGGGGTGACTGGGGAGAGGTCAATGGGGGGAAAAGGAGACATAGGGAATACTATATGTAATACTTTAAACAATAAAGAATTTAAAAAATAAAAATGAAAAATAAAAAAAGAAAAGAAAAAGTATATCAACTGTTTTATAAACTGTTGAGAAAATGGACTCTATACATGGCTGAATGAAACATTAATTGGTGCCAGTATGAGAAATGCAGTAGCATGCCAAAATATTACAAATAGAATAATCCATTATGCAAACATCCTGTTTCTAGGTATTTATTTTAAAAAAAAACAAACACCCACATTTGCAGCCCTGGCCGGTTTGGCTCAGTGGATAGAGCATCAGCCTGCGGACTGAAGGGTTCCAGGTTTAATTCCTGTCAAGGGCATGTACCTGGGTTTTAGATACATCCCCAGGTGTGCAGGAGGCAGCTCATCGATGTTTCTCTCTCATCGATATTTCTGATTCTGTCCCTCTCCCTTCCTCTATGGAATCCAATAAAATATAAAAACAAACAAACAAAAAATCATATGCAGTAGAAACTATAAGAGACATTTGCAAATCTGTGTCCATTATGATATTCAAAAAGCCTGTGATAGGTGGAAATAATACGAAAGTCCCTGCATAGTTGAATGAATGAAGTATCCTATATACGTACAATGGAAGGCTATATTGCAATGAAACAGAAGTAGAGATCATCAACTGATAAACAGAGAGAAACCTTGAGGGCATTTATTTAGGTGAAGCACACAAGTGACAAAGAGACTGAAACTGTAGGGTTTCCTTTAGTTGAATAATCAACTCAGGAAAAAAAATGGGAGTTATGGGCCTTGCTTTAAAAACAAATGAGGGAATAGTTTACTAATACAAGATGAGACCACAGTATTAGTTGAGGCACTTCTGCAAGATGGACGTTTTGAGAGATCAAATGCACAACAAAAGAAATACCCATTTGCAGTTTGCTCTATAGCTCGTATCAAGCTGGTGTGGCACACCAGCTGGTGTGGCTCAGTGGCATAGCCCTGACCCATGAACCAAGAGGTCGCTGGTCCAATTTGCAGTCAGGACACATGCCTGGACTATAGGTTCCATACACAGTAGGGGTGTGAAGGAGGAAGCTGATCAATGATGTTACTATCTCTCTATCCTCCCTTCCTCTCTGTCTAAAATCAACAAAAACATATTTAAGAAGAAAAAAAAAGAAATACCCATTTGCAGGTTGCTCTGTAGCTCAGATCAAGTGGCCCCAGGAAGAAACAGGTGGTGAACTGACCTTGGCCCACACCTCCTGAAGGCCCCAGAGCCAGTCCATTCATTAGATACCCCCTGGATTACAACCCAACCTCCAGGGGAGACACACTCACGGGGAGACTTGGTGGACACTCAAGCACATCAGCAAGTTCAGTTACAGAGGCTTGGCCCCAGCACTGCTGCTTCTTTCTCAAGTAGCAGAAGGTCCTCACAGTCAATCTGCCTGGGGGTTGATCCTTTCAGTAATGTGCCCACAGCAATCAAGGCTCAAGGACAGCAGGACAGGAAACACAACCCACACACAGCACCGGCCTGGAGCACTTAGCTGGAGTGACTTGGGAGGCCGTGGCCCTGGGCCCTACAGAAAGTCTACTTGAGCCACGCTCCAAGTCCCACAGATGGCCTGGCTCTACCTAATACACAGAGACAAGCACAAAGACGCAGCCAAGTAGGAAGACAAAAAACAGGTCCCAAATGCAAGAGAAGGAGAAATCTCCAGAAGAAATGGAGGCAAGCAAACTACCAGATACAGAATTCAAAGCAATTGTTATGATGCCTAAGAAACATCATGAAAACTTCAATAGCATAAAACAGAACACGAAAATCATTAAAATATAAGTCAGAAATGAAGGATACCTTAATTAGTCTAGACAACAAGTAAAATTTTCAAACAGTGAGTTCCTAATTCACATCCATAACAGAGCCTTTTTTTTCTAAATCAGAAAACCCCCAATTGTTCCCTAAGGGCAAAAATCAGAAAGTCTACTCTAGAAACCAGAAGCCCCTAAAGACGTTAAAATAATAAAGGAGACAAACCCTGTGGGAGGAGGAGAAACTCAGGAAGGAAGTCATCCTCACCCAGGGAGGCCAGGTTGCTGTAGTTCTCCAACATCACATCCAGGTACAACTTCCGCTGAGCTGGGTCCAGGCATTCCCACTCCTCCTGAGAGAAATCTATGGCCACATCCCTGAAGGTCAAAGGTCCCTGAAAGAAAAGACAAGTTTAACAAGAGGTCACCAGAAGAGTTCATAATGTCACCCAACATGAAAACAGTGTTAGCAGACGAGAAAGAAAAAAATAAGGGCGGGTGGGGAGGAACAACACACACACATACACACACACACACACACACACACACACACACACACATACACACACACAAAACAAACAGAAAACAGTGTTAGGAGAAGAGGTTTGGACCAAGGGGAATATCCTGAAACCCCCAATATGATCACTTTGCCCAGTAACATTCTCTGAAATGTTTTCTAACACTAACAAATGAGGATGACAAATGTCCCAAAATGCCCAGTACAGACTTTACTTTTCAGGAAAATAAACTTTAAAATTAGGGCACTGACACGGGCATATGTTTGCATCGTTCAGGGTCCGTGGTGTGTGTTTCTCAGCTGGAGATGTCATGCTGAATTGGAAGCATAATTACTGCCTGAAGTTAACACAGTCAACCACAACTGCACATTCCTAAAAATATAGACTCTGATCCAGGTTCTGAGATGGGGCCTGTGTTTCCACCTGTGTAATAAACTCACTTTTAACTTGTGATGTCAACGCTTCTGGTCCATTTGTCATACTTATAAATACACAGCAAAGAAAATAGAGGGAAAAGTTCATACATAAGATTTTTTTTTTAATTAAGTCTTTTTTTTTAAATATATTGATTTTTTACAGAGAGGAAGAGAGAGGGACAGAGAGTTAGAAACATCGATGAGAGAGAGACATTGATCAGCTGCCTCTTGCACACACCCCACTGGGGATGTGCCCGCAACCAAGGAACTTGCCCTTGACCAGAATCGAACCTGGGACCTTTCAGTCCATAGGCCTCGCTCTATCCACTGAGCCAAACCGGTTTCGGCCATATATAACATTTAAGTGAAAGAATTTTTCAATGGAATTTATAGTTCTCATGGAATAAGACACATAGGAACCACAATCCTGTATGAAATTTTACTATGAGTATTCTTAGAACAAGATTATTCTGCCTTTGATAGAATATTTTGTGAAATATAAAAAAAGTTAAACCGTTTTACTCCAAACTCGATCTACAATGAAAAAACAAACAGAGGTCAATACCCAATGAAGAAAACTCATGAATATTCACAGCAGATTCTGTGACTGAGAAGAAGAATAAAGACAAATTAAGCAAGTAAGAAAATGTAGCTCAAACAATGTTAACATTTTATGTGGAGACAGATACACTGATGAGAATTCACCTATAATATAAAATGGATAAAAAAATGAACTGTCATGTCAATGAAATCAAGGTTATTTTGTGATTCCATAAATTTCATGAACCTCCTTCTGAATAATACCCTTTGTGTATTATAAACACAATAAGGAGATGAACTCATATAATGATAGAAAATATATTGAACCTATTGTTTCTTAGTTGCTAATTTATTTGGAAATTTTTGTGTGTCATTAGTGGAGAGCTACAATCATAGAAACTTACCTGAATTGAACATATATTAAAAATATGATTCTTGCCGAAGCCGGTTTGGCTCAGTGGTAGAGCATCAGTCTGTGGACTGAAGGGTCCCAGGTTCGATTCCGGTCAGGGGCATGTACCTTGTTTGCGGGCACATCCCTGGTGGGGGGGTGTGCAGGAGGCAGCTGGTTGATGTTTCTCTCTCATCGATGTTTCTGGTTCTCTATCTCTCTCCCTTCCTCTCTGTAAAAAATCAATAAAATATATTTAAAAAATAAAAATTAAAAAATAAAAAAAATAAAGGTACATTTAAATAGCAAGTGTTTCTGGAGAGGATCCAAGCTGGTTGCTCGGGTAGACATCTAACCGCAGCAGCACACAACAATTTCAATGGAATACAACTAAAATGTAGAGTGGACATTGGCCAGAGCTATCATTGGGCATGTGGAGGTATTATTGATATGAGAAAATGCTAAGTAACTGATTTACTATCTGAAAAGGGATTTACTATCGGGGAAAGGGAGGGAGGAAGAGACTGAACATAAACTGTACACCTATGGATGAGGACAATGGGGGATGGGGAGGGGGCGGAGGGTGGGGTGGGAACCTGGTGGAGGGGGGAAGAAATGAGGAACCTTTGTAATAATATGAACAATAAAGATTGATTTAAAAAATAATGAATAAATAAATAAATAGCAAGTGTTTCTTATAATCTAGTGAGCAAGTATCTCCTATTTACTCTTCTTTTCAGAACTTGCTGAGCTATCCTGAGCAGTAAGATGTGCATTTTCTGCCAAAACTGGTTTGGCTCAGTGGATAGAGCGTCGGCCTGGGGACTGAAAGGTCCCTGGTTCAATTCCGGTCAAGGGCATGTACCTTGGTTGCAGGCACATCCTCACCAGGGGGTGTGCAAGAGGCAGGTAATTGGTGATTCTCTCTTGTCTATGTTTCTAACTCTCTATCCCTTTCTCTTCCTCTCTGTAAAAAAAAATCAATAAAATATATATATATATTTTTAAAAATGTACATTTTCTTACCCCTATTCTAGAGCTGTTGTTGCAGCCACTTGAACCTAAAAGATACATTTCTCTTTTTCACCGATACCCAGGCTTCTGGCCCCATCCTAGTAGGGATGTTAGACATGGCAGCCTTACAAGGTTGATCTGTCAGAGAGGAATGTTTTCAGTAGGTAAAAGTCATCAATTGAAGGTGGGAAATCTTGACCTGGTGGAGCCTGCATAACATGAATGCAGAGAAGGCGCTGGTCAAAGGAAAAACCTATATAAACTGCTGACCTTGACTTTCACAAGAAAAACAGTAATTAAATAAGAAAAGGAAAAGAACGTGAATAGCACCAACATCAGAAGTGGTAGGTTCTAAATCCACAGATGTCAGAGGAAAAGGAAACACAGCCTGGGACCCCGGCTGGGACACAGCCTGGGACATCTTTTACCTGAGAAGCAGCCATTGGTCCTGGCGCTGATCGGGGTCTGAGTTGATTTCTCAGGTGACAATATGTTGAGGAGCCCGGAATGTGCCTTCAAAGACGTCAGCACAGCGTCTCAATCAGCTCCCCTCACCGCACCGTCAGGACCTGGAAATGAGGAAAAGGCCACCCCTCCTGTCCTCGGTCTCTGAAGTCGCAACAATGAACTCCTACATGGAGCCACACTGTGAGTTTTTCTGTGTCTTCATGTCTCTCTCCTCCCAAAGACTTCCACAAACTCTTACAGAAATGAGAATGTGAGCTGCTGTCCTGACCCCCCAAACCAAACAGAGCACCCCTTTACCTCCCCTGAACAAAACCTGCTCCCCAATCTCACAAAGGCGTCCTGCAACCCCCCTGCTAATCCTGTCCTCACCTTCCAATCACCCGGGGCACCTCAGTGACCAATGATACCCCACCCAGAGCGGCTGTCCTCCTCCACAGGGGAAAGTGCATCTGAGGGCATTTCTTACAGCTCCTCAGGGGATCTGAGAAGACCCAGAGGATTTACCTCAGGATGTTCTTAAATAATAAATTGTCAGACAGAAAAAAAGTAAATCAATTGAAGTAACACACACACACACACACACACACACACAAACAAACACACACAAAACACCACAGCCACAAAGCTGAGGCTTCTAATATTCCTTGAAAAAGCATCAGGTGGTGACAGACACAGATCACCTCTTTGTTGCCATCGCAGGAAATGACAAGGGATCCATGAGCAACAGACAAGTCTCTCCCCTCTGAGTGACTACGGATTGCAATTGAAAACAAATTATTATAAAATTCCCAAGCCTTACACACTGGAGATTTGTCACTCTCATTCAAATCTGAATAAGACAATTCAGATGTTAAATTAACTATATAAAGCCATGCTCACTGGTCGAGATTGGACCTAAGAACCAGGAGGTCATGGTTAGATTCCTAGTCAGGGCATGTGGCCAGGTAACACGTTTGATCCTCAATGACGAACATACATGCAGGAAGCAAATGACCAATGACTGTCTCTCCTCGGTGATTTTACTTTCTCTTTCTCTTTCTCCTCTCCTTGCCTGAGAGATCAATAGAAATGTCTTTAATACACACACACACACACACACACACACGCACACACACACACACACACACGCAAACACACAAACACACACAAATAAAGCAACAAGCCAATAAATCATAACTTAACCATGCACACACCATCAGCTCACCCCTCACCCAGATAAGGGTCCCCCCCCTCCCACTGCTATGTATTTCTGTCTATGGATCTGTCTCTGTATCCCTGTTCCCTTTCTCTCCACTGCGGTCCTTTCCTGTGTCCTCCTTCCTCTCCCTGCTTTTAGTCCCCTTTTCTTTTCATTTTTAAAAACATATTGTATTGATGTAGAGAGGAAGGGAGAGGGAGAGATAGAAGCATCAATGATGAGCGAGAATCATTGATTGGCTGCCTCCAGCACGCTTCCGACTGGGGACCTAGCCCTCAACCCAGGCATGTGCCCTTGACTAGAATCACACCTGGGACCCCTCAGTGCACAGGCGGATGCTCTATCCACTGAGCCAAACAAGCTAGGGCCGCCTCTTTTCTCTCTGTCTGTCCCTACTCCTGGACCATGAGACTCCTGAAGCCCATTTCCCTTCCGGGGCTCTCTCTCCTGGTCTCTCTGCTCCCATCTCCACACACGTCCGTGTCCCCGCTGCTGCCTGTTGGAAACTGTGCCCCCGGCACTCAGACCTGACTAATGGGGCCAGGAGGGCGGGCGCGGACCCCCAGGCCGGGCCATCCGGGCTCTTCGGGCGGGAAGCGCCGGGCGGGGAGGGCAAAGGGCGGGAACCACTGACCGGACCTCCAGCCCCGCGGGGGCCCCGGCGGCCCCGGGGACGGTTTTCGGCGGGAAAACCACGCGGCGGGCGGGCCCACAGCC